GCCAAACCTAGCCCTTAGTCAAAGCAAAGCACACAGGTCAACTTTCAGAGGAGAGAACCAGTGAGTTTGAGTTGTTTATTCATGTCTAAGGGAATAATAGGAGACATTAAATTCTGTGATGGGTTAAAGAACAATAATACCCCCCAGGTCTCCTGGTGGAGTGGGAGATCCTAGAAACTGTGCAGGCTGAGTCAATCAGACAAGCTATCTTCAGATTATCTGAGAAAAGAAAATTATACAAAGCATACCAGGTCTTTACGTAAAAGCCAGTTAACCTTGGCAGTTGCACCAGGGAGTAATTAGTATTTCATTCTGCAAGTTATAGCCATGCATTTAACCCAGATTTCAAATAAAACATATAAAGAACAAAGTAACAGTGCATAATTTTATTTAAAAAAAGACAAAACCTAAGCAAAGTATTTTCTCATAAACAGACACTTGTTTTCAAATGTGTAGTGATTTCAAAGTAATCCATGCCTGGAAACTTCTACAGCAAATTCCTGTCATAAGAACATTCTCTCATTACCATTTGAGATAAATGAAATACTTCCCTTTCCCTAATCTTATGATTTCATTCTTATTTCTCTAGCAGTGTATCTTTGCTCTAGTACAGAGTAGATGGGATAATTACTAGTATAATTATTTACCTCATTTTCGCCCAATAAAAACTACTTTAGTTACTATCAGAATAATTGTTAAAATTTCTTTGAGGCTCCAGTCATGCAAAACCATGCTGAAAGGAATTCTCATTTTTAGGACATCCAGCAAATAACCCCACATGTAACTCCCTAGCCTGGGTCTAACTGTAGACAAATGAACAGACATAACGAGGTGCACGAGCCAAGCCTGTGTATTTGAGGGATGGAGATGATTGTCTATATCAAATGGCTGATATGAAATGCTAATCTGTTGTGTCCATTTGCACAGCCTAAATTAGCATAGTGTGTTCATCGCAACTGCACTGGATGTTTACTAAACTCTACATACACAGTTATCGTCAGTGCTCTTAGAATTCCTGTGTTAAAACAACAAGAAGCATGTAAATTGGAATGAACTCAGGGCAGCAAAAAAGGCATTTGACAGATATACGCGTATTTTGCTGAATTTATATCCGTGAACACCTGCATACAGGCATGTACATACATGGATAGAGATGTAAACATATGAAGGTATTCATGCACTAAATTTCTGCATCCACAAATTAGAATGTTCAAAAATGCCAGAAAGCATAAATGTGTATAGAAACCACTATAATAATGCCTACAATGGGCATTTGCAAACAGGAGCATGTACAAATGCATACAGTGCACGTACCTGTGTATGAGAAGATACATGAGCAATTATTAGGTTTCAATATGTCCATGGATGAAACAAACACATCCAATAAATATCTGAAATTTATTTGTGAACTCTAATACCAAAAACTTTCAAATGCCCACCTCCCCAAATAAAGTGATAATGAAAGGGGAAGTAGCAGCCAGTGGGATTAGTATTGTAGAGGAGAAAGATCTGCCCCAAGTCTTCATTCAAAAAACTAGTCTATGTCTCCATCACGGGAAGGATGAGAATATTTCTTCCAGGGTTCACATTTCCCCACCTTCTCATCTCTTTAATCATGTTAAGTTGAAAACATATAAGTGCATAACACACAAACAGGCTGCACATTTTAGGACCAGGAGGATAAAATGAGAGAAGGTGTGTCATAGAGTTCATTTCATCAACTTGATAATGATCTAATTTACTTTTCTGAACACAATTCTGCTGAATCAGAGAATGTTTATTCTCTATCTCATAGCTTTTCAAATCTGCAAACATTAATTGCTCTAATATGCGTTAAATTAGCTACATATTCACTATGTAACAAATGACCAGAAACACATTTAGTAAATACATTCAATTTTATTTATACTGCCATCTACTTCAGGAGGATCTATTTCACGGATTAACAGAGTGAATTTAAAATGTGCTCTTCATTATCTGTTTCTCTTACCCATATTACTCCTACCCCTTACCTACACTGTACTGTTCCTCTTTCTCTGTGTCGAAATCACCCGGTGGAGTCATTCTCAGTGCCTTTCGTAAGCAAAGTGTCAGCATCACATTTTACTCATGTTGGAAACATGACCATTTCAAGATGTGGACTCTCTGCAAGTAGGCACTAAGATTTGCATACTTAATGCATTATTCCAAGGAAAGGCCTAGGAGTAGCTTTGGGGATTTCCAGCCCAAACAATCTTTCAGTTTTAGCATCAAGAGTGAAGAAGTCTAAAGGGATCAAACTGAAATTAGCAGAAGGAAAAGCACCAACTTGTCACCTTGAATGTGCTGCTAATTTAGCTTATCAGGGGTGTTCTTCCTCTGCTCAATTCTGCTGCATCTTCTAAATCTGAGCTGAGACCATCTGCTGAATGTCTGTCTCTTGGTTTACATTTAATGGGTTCTTCATCATGAAAAAAGTGGTAAAGATAAGCCAGATTTAGAAAAAGACTCTAGAAAAAGACATGACTCGCTACAGGATGCTCTTTCTTCTCCTCACCCTTGGTGGAGACATCGCCCATGGAAGCACGCTCATTCGGCAATTAATCAGGGGCAGAGGTCAACTGCTTCCTCCAGGAGCCAAAATATTTGATTTTCTGGGAACAAATATATTGCATTATATGACCCTCCCAAGATGCCACTGTCTTCATGACATGAAGTGAAATGGTGCTCTCTAAGGAATTAAGAGATTTAGGAGTGGGAATACTAAGAAGGAGAGAAAGGAGGAACACGTGTACCACATTTGCTTTACTTCTGATGCCAATGCTGCAGTGATACAAGGGAAGCACTGCACAGACACTCTAGTCCATCATTGTGATATCAAATGCATGGCTTTTCAGAGAGAGAGAGAATATCACAAATAGAAGCCTGAGAAATAAAATTTCTATTTTTATGAAAGAAAATAGAAGAAACCTATTTGGAAGTGTTCCATGAAAAAACCTACATTTCATTGTCATCTATACCTAATAGACTCGTGTGTCCCAGCTTTCAGGGACTAGAAAACAATGGCAATTTTCCCATATGGTGCTTTCATTTTTGAACAGCACTAATTCACAACTATCTGTCTATTTGAATTCAAGTACTCACTTTCAAATATCCTTAGCTAGTATCTAGGAATACTATAAAATTTATTTTTTGGACACCCATACAAAATATATATATTAATTAATCTTAGTTTAATGTCATCTTCTCAGTGAAGCCATCACACAACCAGGATGCACTTACATACTCTCCCTCTGCTCTGAGATCTGCTGTAGAGAGAACCCTGGTGTTTCTTTGCAGCAGGCACACATTTATCTGTGTGCTTCCTTCGTTAATGGTTGTCCCTTTCTCTAAACGGTGAGCTCCTTGAAGACAGGACTCTGGCCTTGGCGGGACAGGCAGTGTGGCAGAGTGGAAGCTGGAAGCACACGGATTCCAGCAACTCATTGCCAGGTCTATATCCTGCCTCTTCCTCTGACTAGCTGTGTCATCTTGGGCAATTCAATTAACATTTTTCTACCTCAATGTCTTCATCTGTGAAACAAGGATAACCAATATCTGTCTCAAATAATCCTAAGAATATTTAACTAATAATTTAAAAAATCTAAAAGAGTGGCTGTCACATATTAAGTACAATATTAATATTCATAATTACTACTTTTGCCTACTATTGAATTCCCAACAAAAAGTGGAATGGCAGGCACATTTTAGGATCTCAAAGATTTATTGAATGACTGAATGACTGGCTGACTGAATGAACAAATGAGGAGAAGGGATCATAGAGATTATCTTATTCAGTGATCTTCAGGTCTCTTTAGACTTGGACTCCCTTTCTCCATCAAAAGCATATGCAGAACATGTAAGCCCAACAAGCAAATTACATAAAAGAGTAGATACTCTAGTTGAAGGTGAGGGTTTGTGGAATCCAGAGCCCCACCCTCCACATGTTCATTTACCTCCTTAGCAGCCCTTGAGTTATGTTGGCAGAATGGAGAGGAAAATCTCTAAGTCCAACTACTTAAGGTCCAAGAAGTTAGAAACTAATACTAAAAGAAATTAAGTGACCTGTACAAGTCCAGGTGAATGTCAGAGCTGGTTCCAGTTTAAGGACACATGCATCCAATTAAGGCCACGTGAATTGTGTCCACTAGGTTGAACTGCATTCCAAAACTCACCCAGGAGTCCATATCTATTTTGCTTAAAGACACAGCCACAGACCCATAGGTAAACCTTTCAGAGAAAAAGACAAAGGAAGAATAACCTAAAAACAAAACAAACAAACCAAAAAAAACAAAAGTAAACCATGATATTTATTTTCTCTCCCTAAAAGACGACATCTCACGATCCCCTTTTATTATACTAGGATACACTCCCTTGCTGCCTCCTTTCCTTCTTCCTTTGCTGCTTCAGGTTTTGAATTAATTCATTCAACAAATATTTGAGCTCCAATGAGGCAGCAAGTTTTAAACACTTTAGACTCATTTGTGAACAAAATGACAAAAATCTCTGTTGTCGTGAAACTGTTATTAAAAAAAAAACTCTAAATAAAAGATTTCTGAGACATTAACAAAGAGATATTGAAGAAACTCGCAGGAGGACATTTCAAAAACATTCTTAGAGGAGCTGGCCCTGTGGCTTAGTGGTTAAGTTCAGCAAGCTCTACTTCAGCTGTCCAGGTTCAGTTCCTGGTCGCGGACCTACACCACTTAGCAGCTATGTTGTGGCAACGACCCATATACAAAATAGAGGAAGATTGGCAACAAGTGTTAGCTCAGGGCCAATCTTCCTCAAGCAAAAAGAGGAAGATTGGCAACAGATGTTAGCTCAGGGTGAATCTTCCTCTGCAAAAAAAAAATGTTCTTAGATCTTGATACATAGAAGCAAGTACTATTCCAACGTTAATATTTACTTTTTCAATTAGTTTATGTAGGATAATATACATTGTAGTCTTGGTAACAAATCTTTATTGAGTAAAAATAGGCCATCTTTCAGTACCTTTTATTCTTCATCACTTGACTAATAATATTATGTAACATAATCCAGATGAGCAAATAGTTTGGGGAAATCTAAGATTGTACACATGACTAAGAAAATGTCGCCTAGGTAAACAAGTATATGTTTTCATTGCTTCCCACGTCTGGCCAGCTCACCTGACTCTATGGTGTCAATAATTACTTCAGCCTCTGCTGCAGTAAGTGCTGATTACAGTGCCTGAGCTATAAAAATAAAAGATTCCATTATAGCAAAGTTCTCAAACATTGTTTTAATCCAGCTATCCAAATTGTCAATCTAAAACAGCAAATGTCTCCTGCACATATAACTGTCTTAGACTTGTCATCCAGTTTATTCATGAAACAGAATTGTGTCTGAAAGAGCACTGCAATGCTAAATATACGATTCAAGACAGAAAAAAAATAGTTAGCCATCTAGTATATTCAGTACTCAGAAATTTGAGATCACACAGAAAACCACATCCAGATGAGTTACTGAATTTTTCGCTTTTCATCTGAGAATGTTGGCATTGGATAGACACAGTTAGCATTCATTTAGCTCAAATACATTTTAGGCACTAGTTCAATTTACGTAGTTAATGCATAAAAAAGGAAATACAAAATCCCAAACAAATTCTGAGCTTAAAATGAAAATAAAGCATTGATTAGTATTTTAAAATAACTAGAGAGAAATAAATTCTTAGTTTAGGTAGTACCTATATTAAAACAAGTTATTCCATCAGAAAGTATGTTTGTTTCTCAATAGGAATCAATTCATATTTTGCAAAGCATAAGTAATCTTTCACGACTTACTATTAGGTACATAATAGAATTGTACTATCTACATTCAAAATTTAGGTTAATGTTTTTCTTCCATATGAGAATAGTTAGACTATAAATGTTAACTCCTCAAAAACAACATCTATTTAGATAGCTGTTAATTAAAAGAAATAATAAGAAATGTCACCTCTTTTATAGACAAAGCCACACATGTAAGTAAAGCATTTTAAACCTCTCTGATGCTATTTTAAAGCAATTAAAGATTGAGAGAAATAAAATGCATTCATTATGGTAAAGTTATAGAACATATTATAAAATAATTCTGTGCTTAATTATTAAAAGGAACTCCTGGAATATTTCTTAAAAATACTTATAAAGCTCTTCTGCTACAAATTCTTTTTGTTTTGAGACAAATAATGCAATGAATATACCACAGTAAACTCTGCAGGATGCATAATCCTATCTATTGTTAAAGAAAAAGACATATACATTATACTCATTCAAAGCCCACTTGATCATGCTAGTAATTAAGAGAAGCAAATTGATTATATTGTCACATACTAGAATAGGAATTTAGAGCATAGAAAAAATAATTTACAAATGAAGCTGTTCAAATTTGATTAATATTAAGCCAAATTCTCATCTTTCCACATGTTATCCTATAAAAATTTCAGAAAATATCAACCTGATTCTTTTTATTAGTTCCATAGATGCCTTCAAACATACTGTGCTAAGGTGGACTGGTGATTAACTTTCCGTAGGATCCATAGAGTCTAGGAGGAAAGTTGGGGCACAGGATGAGGGCGTGAAAGTGAACCTGAACTAAAACTCAAGTATCTGCTTCCCTTTCATAAACCTCTGGAGATGGTTAGGGTTTCTGGATACAGTGGGGAAATTACAAGGAACAGGACTCGGGAAACAAGCAATATTCCATCTCATAGAAGTACACAATGTTTAAAGCTGAGAAGGAGTCAGCAGGAACTTCGGACTTTGATCTTTTCTTTTATCCTGGTCACCTCATCTGAAAACTCTATGATCATCTATAAAACGGATTCTCTTTCTTTCTTAGGTAGCCTGTAATCTGAAAAATATTGATAAATGACCATGAATTACTCTGCAAGTACAGTTGCTATGTGAATATAGCACAACATTACTTTTACTTTAATGATAGTTTGCCATTTCCCCAAATCACTAAATTTCTTTGAATATATCATTGTGACCAAAGGTATCCCATTATATCTCAGAATTTAAGTTCATCTATCGATTATAGATTTCATTTAATATATATATTTTTATTAACTATCTTCTAACACAGCCTGCCAGAACCCAGTGCTCCGAATGTATTAATTGTGGCTTGGCAGATCCGTTCTATAAAACCAATGGTTTTGTATGCTTTCTGCATTTGCAAAATAGATCTAACCAGCAGGAGTGACTATATTCAGTGCAGTCAACATAACTGGATCATTTAACCCATTAATTTGAGTCTGTAAGTTTGATGCTATGTCAGTCCTATTAATCAGATAATCACATACTAATGTCAATTCCTCTTGCTTGTGAGTTACATTCAGATTATTCAGGAGTGCATTTATTTGATCAGTGATATTCCTATGAGGAGCCCCAACTTCAATGATTATCACGGTCATTGATTTGTTTTAATTATACATTTGTTTTCAAAATATACAAATCTGAGTTCATGGCTGTTTTACTTTCACCAAATCTCCATTTTTAAATGTATATTATCTGCTTGCATATTTGTATTTTGGAACCCTCTTCCCATCTCACATTCCACTACCAAATTTCATGCCAAAAATCATGCCGAGCATTTCAAATGACTTGATTTCTAACTCAGTAATTCCAGCAGACAAGCATAGGGATGTGTCTATAGAATGCCAAAAAATCTGATCAATGTGTCAGAAATTTAGTCATTCATCCATATATTTTGCCTACATCATATCAAACATATTTAATGCATTCTGTTAACTAACTAAATCCCTGACAGAACTTCCTTGACGTTATGTGGTTCAAAATAATAATGAGAAGAGCAATAAACACCCTCAAATAAACAATATATTCAGGTCGACACATATTTCAACCTTGAGGAAAGGGACTCCAATTGGCCAATGTGGACCAAAATCTTTGATATGTTTGCAATTTGGATTCTAAGAATGCTGAGGATCCACAACATTTTATCATCCTCCAGTTGATTTCAAAAACTAGATCACAGAAGTGCTAGATACCCAAATGAACCAGAAGAATTAAATGTTACATTGCATTTGAGTTCGAAACAGACAAATTTATGCTGGGCAATTTACTGATGACAATGACTATTTATGACTGTGGATATCCATTTTAATTAGGTTATTGCTTAAGGATCATAATTGGCCTGGAATCTTTTGGAAAATTTGTAGACTACTTTATAAAGTTACATAAAATTGTGAAAAAGTTGCATGCTTTAAAAACTTAGTACTTCCATCCAGCCTGTGGTCTAAAAAGAGTATGAAGACGATAGCAAATGGATGCTTCTTAACACAGTTTCTTGGTATTTATAGTATCTTTTCTTCTCTAGTTGCTCTCCCTTCAAAGCTGGTCAATTGCTTCTCTGGGGTTTTCTTCACCTCACATCCAGCACAAGGAGGCATTTGCAATTTCTGTCAAACAATGCAGAAATGACAATTAAGTGAGCCAAAATAAATATATTTTTAAGGTAAAAATTAAAATCCTAACAGAATAGTAATGTAAATTCATATATCCCAACATATATCTTACAGAAAACTAATGCCAGACAAAAATAAAATAAATGTAAATATGTTAATACTTCATGAAAGTCCAGGAAATACTGTCTACAAATGGCAAGATATATCAAAAACTTATTTTGAGAAAACTTTGGCCAAACCATTCAACTCTGATTAATTTAACCCAAAAGTTGAGAAATGTTGTGTTAAGTGAAATGAACCCTAAGAATTGCTATGATGTAATATTTTTGGTCAAATATAGAACAGTACAGATAGAAGTTCAGAATTAATCCCCTGAGTTGTGTGTGTTTGTGTTTTGTTTTTGTAGTGGATGTTTACTTCCTTCTACCTCCTCTGCTTCCTCAAATCTTTTCATCTTCTTTGTCCCATAAGGAATAGATGCATGTTTTTTGTGCTCTGTACATTTTTGTTTTGTATCTTATTTGGAGGGAGAGGGAGAGTACCGCCCTCGCCCTTATAGTTCGAGGACCTCAGATAACCAAACCAAAAGCTTATTGGTAGGCACAATGGTCATGGAAAGGTCCAGAGGCACTAGGTGAAGGAAGTGTCTTGTATTAGCCGATACAACATCCCCGTTTCAGCTAGAGCAAGAGAGAAAATCATTGAACCCGATAGATTCAAGAAGTGCCTTCTGATTTAATGGAAACAAACAAACAAAATACCTGCGGGGCAGGCGTTGGTTCTGCAGTGAGAAAACTTGGGGGATTTTCTCTGTGCTTCATTAAGCAGGTCGTGCCTCGTAAAACCTGCAATTGAAAATAGGTCAATGAAGCTAAATTAAATGAAGGAAGACGATAGAAAAACTCCCCTGAACTCTTCCTATTGAGAAACTTCCTTCACTTGGATGCAAGCTGAGAGGGCTGAAAGGGAAAATCATCACAACTTGAGTGGGATCCCAAGGAGAGAGGAGTATTCACGGTTGGTTTGGAGATCTCAGTGGTCTTCTGGCAGTCAGCTACTACAACCAAGTTCAACTCCCATGGCAAGTTCTTTCCTTGAAAAAAGTTAAAAAGAAGCGAGGAATTATAAAACCACTATATCTGTGACGTGTCTACGCTCTAAGATTTAAATATGTCAATGCTCTGTATGCCTGCAGGAACATCAGTATTGCAAGCCAGGAAGCAATTTAAGCAAGATGGTCGTCACTTCACCTAGCAAAAAATCTTCAATATCTTAAAAAAGATTATATTTCTTGGAATAAGATCCTATATTTTACTAATCAGGAAATCTCATCTTATTAGCCTCAACAGTTTTGAAGAAGATGAATTGCTGACAGTGTATTCCAGTTGGGCTTCATTTCCATTTTAACCAAGGTTAAGAGATTGAATTTTCCCTCTCTCCCTTCCATCCTTTCTTCCTTCTTTGTCCTCTTCTCTTCAGTCCTCGTTTTTTTACTGTCTCTCCTTCTCCAATCCTCACTTTCTTTTTTTCTCCCTCTTTATTGTAAACACATTTTTTTAATTTTATTTATTTATTTTTTCCCCCAAAGCCCCAGTAGATAGTTGTATGTCATAGCTGCACATCCTTCTAGTTGCTGTATGTGGGACGTGGCCTCAGCATGGCCGGAGAAGCAGTGCGTCGGTACGCGACCGGGATCCGAACCTGGGCCGCCAGCAGCGGAGCGTGCGCACTTAACTGCTAAGCCACAGGGCCGGCCCTAAACACATTTTTAAAGTAACTATAAAAATTTTTTAGGGTAAGGATATATTTTGGTGATTTTCTGTGATCCTTTCTATGTGTAAAACAGACCCTAGAAGTTTAATAGTCCACAGCTACTGGTAAGCTCTGACCTTGAACAAGTCAGTTTGTTTCCTTGGGGTCAAACAGAAGGAGGATACCTAAACTGGTTTGAACTCTAACATTCTATAGATTCTACAAGTAGATGATAACTAAAGAGGTTGTATAGGAGATTTAACCTACTCCAATTCAGATTTTAGAGGAATGCTATTTTTACATGCTCCCTAATCTCACACTGTCTTGCTCTTAATTGAACACACACACTATGTCACTTTACCCTTCTCTGCCTATGTGTACATCACCCCATCCTCATAAAAGTCTCTCTTTAGTGTGACATCCTGAAAACCAGTTACTCATTCCCTCCCTAGCATAGCATTTCTATCACTAGATACACTTAGTCACACTTTCCTGGTCTAAAGGTACAATGCATATAAAAATTTTACCACTTAATGTTGTTTTTATATGTATAAGCATGTCCAGCTCATCAATATGTTGTAAGTTCCTTGAAGATAGAGGCCACATTTATCAGCCCTAGATTGCAGCCAGATGTCTACCAGACAGCAAGTGGCCAATATATAATATCTGAATAAATACTAAATGAATAAAACATTGGCTATGAAAATATTTCAATTCTTAGAATTTTAACAAATGCCTGATTTTTTCATATGATCAAATGTATGTATATTTGATAGAGCCTCCAAAATGGTTACACACAGCCCCTTCATCTAAATAAGCCTACAGTATAGTGGAAAAGTAAGATTGCAAGTATAATACTAGAAATCAAGGGTCAAAACCTTGACTACATTCTTCAAAAGAATTTTAGCAAATGTACGGAGGAATCTTCTACACTGCCTAAGAAAGAAATTTGTTTATTTTTTTGCTTTATGGGTTTGAGTTAGACCTAAGATCTAAAATTTTCCTGGAAAAATTATAATTATTCTGTTTTTATTGTGATAATACACCTGGCCTTTAATTTTATTATACTTGCATTCAGCCTTTGAAAAATTAAGTAAAATAAGTGTACGGAATCAAGCACAAAAAACATGATCAATGCAGAAAGTAACTTGCATAGTGTAAGATTTCCCAAAATATATTTTGGAATAAAAGAGTTTAGAGGTCATGTAAGTTTGGGGAAAAAGTTTATTTGAACATTAAACAGTTATATTTAAAGTAGTTCTTATCAGAGCTTTTAACATACAATCTCTTAGAGTTTTGGTCTTGAATGATCTGTCCATCTAATCGCATAAGGTGATTGTTAAAAAAATAATACTCCTGGGTAATAATTCAGTCCTATGCATATAGGGCTTCCATTTTTAATCAGCACTCCAGCAATGAAGATGCACAGTGAAATTGAAATCCACTTCTTCATAATGCACAAATGCATTATAAATCTCTTAGAAGGAGATATCACATAACTATTTCCCAAATCTATATGACCTCAGAACTCTTTTTTGTGTGGGCATCACTTAAGGTCATTGTCATGGGGAAGATACTCTAGGATTTGCAGTGGAGTACATTCTTTCAGTAATGCGGGCACAGCCGATGATTTGAGACAAGCTTTGATCATCTCAACAATGAAAACTTACTAAATTTCAACATTAAAGAAAATATTATGTGGCTGGAAGACAGCTCAAACCTTTTTTGATACTTTGATCTTATAACGAACACTACGTTTAAATTTATTTTCACTGGGCCTGGCAGGCATTGTAGACACTTCACGAGATGGAGTTCATAAAATTTTGAGTGTTTCTCAAAGAGGCAACAGGTATAAGGGCAATATAATTACAACTTGCACGTTTTGTGCCTTAAGAAGCATCTTATCAACTTTACAGCTATTGAGGAAGCAAGCATTCACTTGTGAGAACATAAGGGGATGTTTCTTTGTGGAGTTCTCCCATCCTTGTTGCAAATATCACCCAGATTGCCAAAATTCCAGAGAACTGTAGTTAAAGAAGACAAGAAGAATTTGACCCATTTCCATCATTGTAGTATAAAGAGAGTTTTGCCTAATGGTTAAAAGTACTTTGGAGTAAAATAGACTTTGCTTCAGGTTTTAGCTCTGATGTTTATTCATGGTGATCTTGATCAAGTAATTTGATCAGTTACTTTTCTCTGGGTCTCAGTTTACTAGCTGTAAAATGGGGCTAATTCTTCATAGAGTTATTTTGAGGATAAAATGAGAAAACATATATAAAAATATTCAGTATAAATACTAACAAATAGTAAGCATTCTTCTTTTCTTTCTCCTTCTTCTCCTATTATCATTGTCATTAATGATTACAAACCAACAATTACAATGAATTGACATGGACATTACAGATATGAAGTATGCTGCAGAATCAACAGCCATGCAATTCTCACCCATAGAAGAGGGAAGGAAAGAGAGAGAAAATAGGAATTGAAAAGCATACTGAACCAGCTGCGCTAGCAGTCCTTATGTGAACATTGAGCGCTTGGAACCCTGGGAGCTTTTTATGGTTAGTATAAACATGCAAGTCCTGCCAAGTTTTCCATGCTGCTCCTCACTCTGTTTGTACTAGGGTTGATAAGAAAAGAGGCAGAGGGAGAAGACGGAGGAGATGGATGAGATGAGGGAGTGGGGGACTCTTTTCTTTAAAAATTGAGGTGTGATATAGGAGCACAGCCGTCAGACTCACCTTGACAAACCACGGCAAAGGCACACAAGGTAGATGACTGGGCATTAAAAGAACGAATCTCTGCTGTCACCCACCAGATTTTCTTTTTACTATGACTGTTAAATACACACGCAAACAGAACTTTTTGTCACACTGATGTTTTCTTTGCCTCATTCCCCAACACTACCTGGAATAATTATTGACTTTTCATTCTTTTAATTCTTCCTGGTACTACCTGGAATGGGATCGTAAATCTTGGAAAGACACAAAAGTGCTATTTCATATACAAGATTTTATGACTAAATAGAATAAGGTATTGGTTAAACCCGGGGGCTAAGACGTCTTTCTTGAACCAATGTTCAAATTCTTAAATCTACTATTTACTAGCTTTATGGTCTTGGATTAACTACTCAGTTCTTCTCAATATAAATTTCCATATTTGTAAAATGTGGAACAATTTGACTTTATAAATGTGTGTAAGAATTAAGTAAGAAAACGATTTAAAGTGCTGAGCTCAATGCCTCTCACCCCTAAGATCTCAGGATGTTGTAGTAGCAACAATGATGATGAAGCTAAAAACGAATGGTGTGAACAACCTGAAACAAAGCACAGGATACATGTGAGATGCTCAATAAATCAGAGCTATTGTTAGATCATAGCAGACTCCCCGGTATTATATGTCCAACACATGGTAATTGTTTATATAATGATTTACATGGTCCATGCAGTTTGGGAAGAAACATAGTTCTACATTAAGTTTTTCACATGCATTTGCATTAATGCAATGCCATCCTTGTGTCATTGAAGAAAAATGGTATGATCTAATTACACCAAAAAATTATAATCATTGCAATAATAAACTATTTTTTCTGTCAAACAAGGAAACAAACAGCAATCATACATTTACCGTTGGCTACAGCACGATGAAATGGATTCCTCCCTCTCTTTCTTGCTTTCTCACTCTCTCTTTTTTACAATGCTATTGTGAAAATATGTGCAGATATTTTGGAAAATAATTTAATAAAATAGATACAATGGTTTTAAATATGTTGACGATCTGGTATATTTCATTTGGGATATTCTCTCTCTGAAGGAAATCCATAATTAAAAATAAAAATTTTTTTTAAAAATGGAAAAACTTTGCACTCAGAAGTACTTATGATGGTGGTTTGTATAATAGAAAAAAATAATGGTTGAATATAAGTAGGCTGGTTAATTAAACAATGATAAAATAATAAGATGAGATATTTTGTAGTCATGAAGACAACATTTTAATGTGAAAAATACGCTAGAAGCATATAATATAAAATTGTACAGATAAGATCACAGCAATGCAAAACAGAAAGTGCACATAAAATATTGTCACGTCAAAG